TCAAACAAAGGGAAAGAACAGCTCACCTGTATTTTTGTTGATGCTGAAAGCTCCTATAGCACTAAGCAAGAAATGAGGACTAAAGCTTTCCTTCCCCAAAGTAAATTTTGTTCTGTACTTCACTAAAGATGGTGAAAGCTATTTGCTGTCAACAAACTGATTCTTCCTAATTAAAATTTTTGTTCAACCCAGAAAAAAGCAGGATCTAGAGGAATAATGTGAGCAGAGCATGAATCATGCCCTGCTGTTTAATTAGAGAAATCTCAGATGGGAGTTGTCTTAATTTACAGGTGAAATTGAAGCTGAATGGCTCATTTAACCAGATACATGTATCTCGGACCTGTGGCCCATAATTATTATTATTATTACTATTATTATTAATAATAATTATTATTTTTACAGTACTTGCAGCAAGTGCCATGGATGTCTTTCACATCCAACTAAATTATATGCCAAGTAAACACTTTCAAATGAAACCACCATTTTAGAAAGATTGGAGTGCTTTTACTATGTCACTCAGTGGAGCTGAGGAGGACAGATTGAAGAATGGCAAACTTAAAAGGTCTGTGTTACTAGGTACTGTAGAGCTGTCCACTGCATGTGGCAGCACAGGCCTACCACTAGGCCCTGTAGGCCCTTGTGTGCCTACATTTATACAAACATTTATGTAAGTCCTTCCAGAGCCCTGAATAGAATCAGTACTCACAGTTGTGGTATCCTGCTTCCTGGGATAAAGGAGTATTGCACTTCAGTCTTCACTTATCTGAGCATTAAGAGGTGCAATGCTGCTACACAGTGCTGGTCAGGCCTGTAACTTTGGTAATGAAATCTGAGCAATCTTGTTCTTTCAGTTTTTCATCATGGGATGTTTAAATTGTCTTTCTACTTCTAGTTATCATTTGTTGCTTGAAGGGGATGGCAGCTTCCCTTTTTTCCCATAATGACTTTGTTGGGAGATTGCAGATCAGCATGACTCCTTTTCCTGGGGAAAAAAACGGAGGGAAGCAGCAGCTCCGGCTTCTTCTGTTAGCTGATGTCCTTACCTTGATGATGGTAGCTCTGCTACACTACTGGCAGATGTTTCCCAGGCTGTGCAGCTTAAGTGTGTTTTATTAGGCATGTGAAGGAGGCTAGGAGAGTGATTTATGCTGTGTGGAGGCATGTACTAATATAAATACAGCATAGGAGGATAAATAAAAGTGCTTGAAAAAAACTTTGTTTGACAATGATGCAGTTATCACTGGTAGAAGAAAAGGAGTGGATGTGAGTTTCTTTTTGTGGCCCATTGAGGTACAATTATAGCAGGAGCAGGCATGCCATCCCACAGGCAGATGGCCCAGACAACAATGAGGCACAGTCATTAAAATACAAATCCAGTGTCCCTAATAAGCCCATACTCCAGTCCATTCCCATGCATCTTCATAGCTTTTGTTGTCCTGCATAAATTAAAGGTAATTAAGATATGCTGCAATCTCACATTTTCATTTTGCTGTTTATAGGTAAGGTAAGGTAAAGTTAAGATGCCTCTGAAGTGATAGCTGGGAGTGAGCCAGGTAGATGCGAAAATAACACAGGGTCAATGAGCTAGTAAAATTTCAGCATTTTCGGTGAACTTGGAGGGAGCAGAACTAAATTCAGTGTGGACAGAAATGAAAGGCAGCAGTGACAAAGATGTAAAGTGATCATCAAAGAGAAAAGAGAGATGATGCTAAGGTAATGATGAAGAAGAGCAATGGGGCTAGAAGTCCAGGACTTCACATCAAATGTTGAGTGAGGAAAGAGGAGATAAGTGACTTCTAGATCAGGTATGGACTTCTGTGCTAAAGAGTTTTGAATGGTTCAGTTTTCATCCTTTGTTCATCACTTAGTTCTTCAGCTGTGTTCCCTCAGCTGGCTCAGCTAGAATACCTTTGTAGTAGCAGGGAGATTGCACATGAATTGGAAGACAAGAAAACACAAAAGGCCAACTTCTTGTTTGCAGGACAGTGTTCTGTAAAGTACAGGTATTACAACTATCTTTTGGAGTTGGACATGGGCAGTTGGACATTTTTATTTTGTGGCTAAAGTATCTGTCCTAAATGCATCTGCCAATTTGTGAGTGAGTGGGAGCAACAATCCTTCTTTCTTCTAACTACCATACCTTTCTCTGTTTCTCTGTTTGTTTTCTTTGTCTGCCCTTCTTTTTTTGAGCAGGAAACATTTCTACTTTCTCTTATTCTTTCCCACTGGTTACATTATTGCTAGGTTCAGGAGAATAATTCCATCATAAAAATGCAGAAAAATAGAAGGATAAGGTACTAACGTTACTCAGAGTTTTTTGGGTTTTGTTGTTTTTTTTTTTTCCCCGAGCAGTTTTTAGAATTAGGAAGATAATAAAGGTTTACACCGGAATGGTTGCAAGATGGACTTCCTGAGATTTTTAAATGATTGCGCAGAAAAGACTTCACAAACTGAAAAGTCTTATTTCCTAGAGCAGAGAAAAACGGTTGGGAGTGGTTGTTCACACTGCCATCTAAAAAGAAAAATACATACATAACACCACACCCATGGGCAGAAACAAACAAACAAAACAAAACAAACAAACAAGCAAACCCAAAATGAAACACAACCCCCCTAAAAACTATGAACAATATGGTAATGCACTGTGATAACAAAAAAAAAAATATATAAGAAATAAGCATGCTGTCAACATAGCTATACATCACACACATTGCACCAGTCAAAACAAAATGATCTAGTAACTATCATTCTTAGTTTTAGCTTAAGGCAAATAAGAGGTAAAATATGTGAAGTTAACACTACCAGCTCAACTAATCCACAGTTATTTACTAAGTTGTTATACAGAATACATGTAGCTGTGTTAAGTAGCCAAACTTTCTTCCTATAAAATAAAAAAGGTGTAATAGAATAGGTTAAACCTCTTTTACAGTATTTGGTCAAATACCAGGTTTTCGTATTCTCTTTATAGCTAATTGAACTTGCATAAACTTGAAGTTGCTTAAACTAGCTTGTCTGTTTGAACTAGCTTGCTTGAACTGCTTTCTGTTTTTAAGAGTGGCTTTATAATAATAAAACTCATAGGAAAGGCAAAATATTTACTTTAAGAAACAACTCCTTTTATTTTAATATTTTGAATTTTATGGATCACATCGAGATACTCTACTATTGTGTGATACCCAATAAAAATTATCTTTACTGTTTGCAGTGTAGTGGACTTGGCTAGTATTTACACTGAGTATATACAGAATAAAATTACTTAAATATTTCAATTACAATGTTTTAATTGGGTCTGAAGTCATTGTTTATTTTTCAATAAAAAACTTTTTTAATTTGACCCTGCTGCCCTATTATATGCATCTTTTGTCACTTACAATATTGTTTTTGTTTAAGGTTATACCTACCTATTAGACAACTTGTTTATAAAGGAGTTTCCAAAATCAAGTAAGCATTACCATTCTCACTTTGTTTGACCTGCTCTGTTTATACAGGTCAACACTTCACTGGAAAAATCACTGTATTTCATAGTGTGCTTTTCTAGGAGGGACTGGACCAACTCTGTGTTTCAGTGGGATTTAGGCACTTACATATAGCACATTTAAAATCCAAGGCTTCATCATTTCCCTAGGTGGCTAATATAATTAATTTAAATCTGAATTCACATATTTAGATTTCTCCTTATATATTCATTTATACACTATCTCCATTAGCAAATATTTATAAATATACATAAATGTGTGTGCATGTTTATTTATTTCTTTCAGGAAGTCTCATTCTTCCTTAATTTTATAATGGATGCATGGATGTGGCAAATAACATAATATACTTAAGAAAGGATCATGAGATAGGTCTTGGAAAGATTAAGGAAAAAACACCAGTTATAAAGTGTATGAACTTGGTAAGGGATACTGATCTGTAAATAAACTACCAATACACACTAAAAATCCATATAACTGAGAGATGACTTGGTGACTTTCAATGACTGCAGCGGAGGGAGGGCTGCTTTTTGCAGCTAACATGATAACAAACACATTAATCAAGCTAAAATCAAGTTATGTAAAATACATTACAAATACAGTATACAAAATGAAGGTAAATATCTGAAACTCTTCTTCTTCTCAAGTAATTTCTAAGTCACATTTGTAGAAAATGTTTTGTATAAATCAGATTTCCTGTATTTTTAATTATGTAAATTATGTGTCATATATTTAAACAGGTGATATAGATCACCTTATTTTTTTGTGTCAATCTTTCAATCTCTTCCCATCAACTTATGCTTTGGAAAATCCATGCAATTCTTCCTAATTTTTCAATAAAGCTAGCAAAATTTTTATGCAGGAAAACCTAGCAACCATGAATGACACAGTATGTTTAAGAAGGAACTTGACTTTGTTTTGAAACAGAATTTGGAAGATAACACTTCAAACAGATACTAAAACTATAATTTTATGCATGGTTATTGAGCTCTTAAATGAGGGGGTTTTTGACTTTGCATACTTGTGGCTTTTCAATCTAAAATATTCCATTAATAATGTAACCTCTTAAGTTTTATTTTGGTGTTGGTTACTAATGTTTATAGCATGAATTATGAATTTGAGTTTATCTTGCTTAAGGAAATGTTTTCTATCTGTAGTACTAAAATTGGAGCCCATCCATAACATTTGTATGACTGAAAAAAATTGTTACTTTCCTACACTGAAGCAAACCTCTCAATAATTGCCATGGAAAGAAATTGGTTAAGAGTACAAAATTGAACACAAAGTTTATAAAAAACCTTTTAACTGAAATTAGGTAATCAACTTTAGGTATTATGAATTCATTTAAATAATTTGAAAAATAATGTATTTTGCTTTTCAGTAAGTGAGGGATGAGAGACAGCTGATTCTCTGGTGTACTTGTGATTCAAGTTACTAGAAGCTATATTTCGAACTTAATCTTCTGAATTACACAAGATTTATATATTTGGTAAAAGAAAACATTGCCATTAAACTCAAGGTAAGAAATTATTATACATTGCTTTATGTATTTTGATATAAAAAGTTACAAGTAGCAAGCATATGACACAGAAATGGAACAGTAACAGCAATAATTGTGAATGCATGCTTTTTACAACGTATCTAATAAAGGGGTTTTTGCCAACTCAAATATTCAGTAACACACATGCAGATTGTTTTCTCAATGTCAAATTCAGTCATATTGCTAGATGCAACAAACATTTCTATTGAAGAGATTATGAATGGCTAAATACCTGATTTCAATAAATTGTTCCTGAAATTGGGAATTTAACTTGCAATAAAAAGAAGAGTGAAAAAGAAAAGAGAAATGACCGATAAGCATAATAACCAAAGTCTTATTGCCTTCTAGTAATTTTACTCAACACTGTTTGCTGAATTTTATCATGATATGAGAATAGCTGGTCAGAGAGTCCATAAAACCTCTAGCTGGTGTTTCCAAGGACGATAGTTTCGCATTTCATTGTAGCATGTTCAAAATCACCCAGGAGCGCACTATTCTCAAGCAGTCTATATAATGAAAATAATGTACATATAACAGAAATTCAATGTAAATCTTCTTCTATGTATAACACAACATACAAGTAAACAACAGACATAAAACATATCAAACAAAACAAAAACAAAAAATGACAGAGCTCAGGATCTAATTTCTTCTTCAGGTTTGCAGCAATCTCTGAATGTATTTAAAAACTAAGGAGCACTTGGTGGCCAGCAGCCCAATTACAAAATATATTGTTGTGCAAAGGGAAAATCTTGCTAAGGAAGTGGGACATGCCTGTACTTCTTGAGTTTGGACAAAGGCAATGAAATTAAATTAGAAACATGTCCACTCTCTCTTTCAGACAGCTGAAATAATTCACTATAGATTTTTCCATTCAGAGTTTGAAAGACTGCATGAATAGTTGTCTGAAAACAAAACAAAGTTAAAATTTGTTCTCCCTGAAAATACAGGAAAAATACAGAAAAAGATATCTACCTAAACTATCTAGAAGCAATAAAAGCATTAATAGAATCTTTCCCAGTTAAACTGCTATATACATATTAACATGTATACACACATGTCTAAGTTTATATACAGATATACACATATACATATATAAATTAACAAACTAGCTGCTATCTATAACTTCATTATAAATATCTGAGATTGTATTTATTAAGATTATGTGTTGATAACAACTTATACAAAATTAAAAACCTAGGAAAAGACTCAAAAAAAGGAAGTTTCATTTGCAAACATTAACATTAATACTACAGAATCTCTAAATCATTACTACCACATACCCTTTCCCTGACTCTTCATCAGTCTGGATTAACAGTAAGAACTGAAAACAGATAGTTCCACATCTTCCTGTCTTGGGTTAGATTACCAGGTTTTACGTGCTATTTCACATGCTGGATCTCTAAATTTTATTTTCAAAAGTAAAAAAACCAAGCCAAACCAAAACAGAACACCAGAACCATGCAAAGCATCTGTCTGTATAATGTGTTTGGAATGAAGATTATATTTAGCTAGGGGATGACTATAGTGCTTTCGGGAATAAGGAATTAACAGATTTTGCTTTGTTTACAATGTTAAAGTGGTCACCTGTCTTTCAGTTTTCTCAGTATTCAAACATGGCTCCAAACAAGGTGACAGGCAGTTTGAGAATTAACATGCATTTTAGCAATATAACAAATAAAATGGAAAGCAACAAATTGTTCACTTGTTGTAAAGGTATGTTCACTTACCTCAAGATTGTCTCTTAGACCCTAGTTGTGTTGTACTCAGACTCATGTTTGCTTAGAGACCCAATGAGGCAGAACCTGGAATGTTATGGCTATTTCATTCAAAATAATAATGTTTGCATAGAAAAAACATATATACATATAGAAACTTAACAGTACAACTTGATAATCTTATCAATATTAATGAAGCAATTTACATTGGCATGCAATTAGATTAAAATAATCAAATAACTTTTTTTTTAAGAGACAGAAATACCTTAATGTGCAAAGAAAATATGGAGGACATGTAAACAGTAACAAGAAGTGCATAAATAATGCTTGCATGAAAAATACAAATATATATAAAAAGTTTCTGTGGGTTGGTTTTGTTTTTCTTTTTTCAAATAAATTGTTCATAAATGCTTTTTCATCTGCTTTTTTTTCCTTGTACTTGTGAACTTTTAATCATTCATATTTACAGTCTTTCAAAGTGCAATATACAGTAGAAATAGTTCTTTTATTAAAAATATGCTTGACTTTTACTTGTCAAATATTTGATTTTTTTAATTGATTAGAAATATTCCTTTTAACTACATTCTTATGTGTAGATACATGAGTTTTCTTTATTCACTACATTGTCTCATGTTCTAATCTATCTATATATGTTAATATGACAACCCAAGATAATGTGATTAATAATGGAACAGATGCAATAAAGTTTTGTAAATATTGTTATTCATTATATGAAAAATAATGTTTCATGAGAAAAGGGGTCTGCTTACCCCAGAATTGTGTTACTCATTACTGGCCATGCATCAAAATGGATATACGTATTTTTTTATTTATTCATGTGTTCGTTTAGTGATATTACACCAGCAGTGGATGATACTCAAGGCCACCTTAGTTACAAGAAAACCACATGTATGTGGCTCTTTTAAAAATAAGATTCACACAAAATCTTCTTTGGTTTTTAGAATTATACCTGTTCTCTGTTGACCTCTGTGTGTATGCATGTGGGTGTGTGTAAAATGGTGAAAGAAAAAGAAAAATATAAAGTAGAAAGGTAAAACTGAGTTACAGGATCCTTCAGGAAACAGGAGCAGAGATAGAAAGAGAGACAGGAAGAGAAAGATAATATAATGGTATGTGCTATCAGAAAACAAATTTGAACAATAAATAAAAAAGAAATATGTCTTTACTGAATAAAGAGTGAACATGTTTGGGCAATCAAGTCCTTACACAATAGTCTTCATCAAAAATCTATTGATACTGACCGCTGAACAGCTTTATCATGTCTGGACAGCCTGTGACTTGTGGTTGGTACCTCTTCAATTTCGTCTATCTCGCACGCATCTGCAGCATCTTGTGAGTAGCTATGCTTCATGACAAGGATATTTCTCCTGTTCATGGGCTGGATGAGTGGTTTTACAGGCTGGGGTTGTATTTCTGTCAAGACAGAAGCATCTCTTGTGCTGAGGTTACTACGGCTGCCCTTAATGCTAGACACTTGTGATCCACAGTGATGGTCATGAATGCATTTTGAAGAGGATCTCCGCAGTTTATGATAATTTTCAAAGTCATCTGCAACATCAGCAAGGTCAGCTGTAGGCCCTGTCCCTCTGAGGGTGCATAACTCATAATGAGGAGGCTCAAATACCTCTTGGAACACTGTTTGATCAAAGTCTGTTTTCCTTTGAACAAATTTTTTACGAGGCTGTTTGATCTGTACTATAACAGAGATAACAATGAGGATGATCACAATGCAAGAAGTCACTCCAATTATAGTCCCACTGGTATTGGTAAGTTGGTCCAACAGGTTAGCTTTTCTTTTTTCTGTGTGACAGGATTAAAAAAAAAAAAAAAAGCACACCATTAATTGCAGTTCAAGAATAAAAACAACCATGATGGGTTCACAGATTACTACAAAGCTGAGCTTAATCTATGTCTGAGTTCACTTGACCAATCTCACTGACAAAAACAAAAAAAGGGAAAATCATAAAAGCCAAGGAAACAGCACACAGGTCGTCTGTGTGCCTATTCACTCAGAAAGTGATTTATTCAGGGTATGTTACAAGCTTAATTAAATGAATTTAATTTTTTTATAAAAAGCAATCCCCATAACAAACAGATGGCTTTAGTGTCACCTCTGAACTCCGTTTGCCTTCTAAAGCCCCCAAGACTGTTACAGATGTTCTCTTCATTATTTTCTGTCTCTTCCAGTAAATACATGCAAAACTAGGACATTAGGACCAGTGGAAGAGCAAGACTTTACAGGAATTAAAAAAGAAATTCTCATTTGCATTGGAATCGTTGGTGAAGACATAGTATTTCTGAACTGACTGGAACTGTTAACAATATTGAAAGAAAAAGCTAAATCAGAAGAAAAAGAGTTATTCAAATTGAGGTTTCAGAAAGGAAAAAAAAAAAAAGGATGCAAGTTACTACTTTTGTTCCCGACCCATTGACTACCACAACTTTTTTAACACCCATAAAAATCCAAAAGATGATCCTACTTACTATCTTTTACCAGCAAATTCAGCATAGTGAATGAAAAAGAAACAGAAAATATGCAGTAAAACAATAAAAAGAAAATCAGTTTCACCTTACTGTTGTGTATATTTCTCTGTGATTTGCTTTCAAATGGCTGCAGACACATGAGATAGCAACTGAGCCTTATAGAACTGCGGCATGTCAAAAAGCATTCACATCAGTATCTTACAGGCATAGCAAGACTGAACAACTGTGATTAAGTTGCAACACCCGGTTTAGCGTAATTTTTCCTGGCAACTTAAAATGTATCAAAGGACTTCATAAAAAGTCTTTGAAATGAAGGTTATTGACACCAAAGCAATAACATCCATCTCTTCATAATCTCCTAGATACCAAAAATTAACTTTTCAGTACTCCCCATTGCCTGCTCTTGTAGAGTCACCTGGGGTTTCTCTAACTAACTGACACAGGCTCTGGGGAAGTAGCAGAATTAGAAAAAGCAACACAGCAACAAGCAACTTTTTTGTTAGAATCAGTCAGAAAATGAGAGGATAAACTCACAAGGCCCAATAGAAAGATACTTGGAAAATGAAAGGTGATAATAATTCTGTAGATTAAAGAGTGGGGAAGGTTTTCTTTTTAACTCTGTGCTGAAGAAATAGAGAACAGATAATTATTTCTCATTCGTATGTTTAGTTTCTTTGAAGAATCTCATGCCATGCCACAGTTTTATTGTGGTCTTTTGAAGCATGTTTTCGTTTGTGTTTTACCCTATTGCACTGCTTGTCAGGATTTTACAGGCTTCAGCAGACTTATGGGCTGACTGCTAATCCACCTTATTCTGAATTTTTTTCTTGATTGGTTCCTAAATTTGGCATATCCCATATTTCCAGGAACAAATCTGCAGCAGACGGAGGGAAGGGTGGGAGGGAAGTGAACTATCTCCCTAGCCTTCAATGTCAGTTAGTTAAGCTCTTCTCCCTGAAGACAACACAGATGCTGATTTTTTTTTTCCCCCCAGAAACACAGAACAATAGTTAGAAACCGTTCTCAGCACCTGGTTAGGGACATCAGTCCCTACCTATGAAAGAGGTATTATGCCTGATTTCCTGTGTTTGTTCCTTGATCTTCAATTTCACTTGATTATTGGCAGATTTGGTTGTTTTCTTACAGTGTTAATTATACTTCACCTTGGCTTTTTAGCCCACCTGGGCTGTTACGGGCATGGCATGCAGCTAAAAGACACTTGCTATGCATATGTTACTCCACTACAAAGGTAACTGTGACAAAGGATCCGAATTATGACTTCTAATTGCATTTTAGAGTGTATGGGAAGCAGAGAGCAAGTGATCAGAAAGCCTTTCAGGAGGACATAACCAACACAAAATACCAAGCAAAACGAATGCAAACACTAGAAGTAAAATCCATCCATAATTTTACGTCTTCATTTTCTCTATTGCTTGATGTATGCGCTCTCTAAATTGTTTTTCCTTTTTCCTGAGCTTTGACCCATCTGGCACATACTTAACAAGAAACTAAGGATAATATGCTGTACCCCATGCAGGCTAAATGACTTGACATTTCCAGTTCTGCACATTACCTTTGCAGTGGTTTTCATCCCAAGGATAAACACAATTCTGAAGTCCATTGCAGACCAATGTATTATTAATACACATATTACTGTGGCAAAAGAATGTGTTGGCTTCACAAGGGGCTAAAAACAAGAAAGAAAAAGCTGATATTAAGCAGTAAATCATTCAGCTTTCTGTGACATTCCTCGGTGCGGCTAGGACATCTAGGAGTGATCATGTAATCTGTGATAGAAAAAAGCTATACAACACAGGTTTCTTGAGCTTATTCAATACTTGACATACAGCATTGAGACCACTCAAATCATACACTGTTTACTGTTCTGTGGCAAAAGATTTTCAGTTCTGAAACAGATGGACTTTCCCATAGTCTGACTCTAGTGGCTGTAGTAGGTGGGCACCCTATACGTTGGTATGGGGAGGCATTGATGTGTTACCAACAGTTTTAGCCGCAGATCCAAAACAAAATTAACTTTATCCCAGCCATATCTAGAGTATGAGAAACAATCTGTATTCAAGTTTGTGGCTGAAACTCCAGTTTTATAAGAAAACTTGTGACTCAAAGAAGATATTAGTCCTCATGCCAACTGTGCCTGGATATTTATGCACAGAGAAAATAAAATTATTTTTAAAACATTTTGGTCATAGAATGGCTACAGTTTAATAAGTACCATTTGGAGCACAAGTGCGAAGATTGAAAAAAACAACAGCCCTCAGCATCCCTGAAGCCTAGGAGAATTTAGGTCTAGGAGAATCACGCAGATTATAGCTGCAGGGTGATGGCTTTACTGATGGCCATTTACTGTTACTGTGAAGAAGCAGCTTGGAAGCCATCAGAAGGAATTGTACTCATCAGAAGGAACTGTGCTACTTACTCAAGTTTTGGGAGATCATTATGTGTTAGAGTTGTAAAGATGTCCTCTAAAATTATGTAACAGAGTAAAGTTAAATTACTTCTCATATTTATTTTATTAAAGCCAAATCAGAAGGTATTCTTCCATTTAGAAAAAGAACTACAAATTTTATCAGTGTTAAACATGTAAAAATGAACTGTTTGCGTAAACCACAAGCATTATTATAATTATTTTTAAAGGAAAGTTAAAAAATACCCTGAGACCCATAAGTAATCAGAAAGGATTTATGATGCTCATATTATTGATAAATAGAATTTGATGCTTCATGGCAATTTTTCTCCTCTGCAACTTTAAAAGCAGTTCCTATGACAACATACATGCATACTACAAAGGCTGGCTCAGAGCAGATGACTGCTTCAGTGGTTTACCAACTAAGGGCTGTACAGAGGATTTATACTGTAAAACTTAATGACTCCATATATCATGTCAAGAAATCCACTTTTCAATAAGTGCTTAAGTTCGGATATCCATAACTGACTATAATATCTTCTTTAGAACAGTTATGGTCTGTTAAACAAATAGTAAATGACACCAAAACTTGTACACGCTCCCAAACACTCAACTGGCTGTTCAGATATAACTTTATACATATACTGTATCTCTTAGCCAATGAAGAAAAATTATGAGCCAGCATGGTTCTGCCTACAGCTCAATATTTGAAGAAATCTACTATACCATCTCCTAGGCTAAAATGACCCTGGTTGGGTGGTAAGTTTGTTACAAGAAGGATTTTACTTTAAACTGGACAGAAAGAACAGAAGAGCATGTATTTGTGGATTCGCCAGCACTGGACACTTTTATGATTCAGCTGGACAGTGTGCTGGGACATCTAGTCTTGGTCATGCTTTGCCTAGAAAGGTTGCACCAGGTGGTTCTTGAGGTCCCTTCCAACCTGGTATTCTATGATTCTATGATACAGGTGTATTACCAAGAAGTGTGCTTTGGGAAAGTGCTTATATTTCTGTTGTGCTCATTTGGGGATGGTGCGGGCTGAGCCTGGAAGATACTTTGTCACATCATGATGTGATACATCATATAAGGAACCCACCAGAGGCACTATCATCCTTTCACACTGTAGCTGCAGTCCCTTCTTCCAGGCAAGGCAAGAATCTTTTAGTACTAGTTCTTTCCAACACACAGACAGGATCACACTGCCTGTTCTAAGCAAAAATGTGAAGCAGAGAGGGAGAGAATTCATGAAGGGGAAACCAAAGAAGACCTCTGTAGCCACTTATTCATATTACATGGTAGTAAGAAAGAAGTACACAAGAAAGTAAAACCTACATGGCAAATGAAGAAAGCACAAGGAGTGACAAGAGAACAAAAAAAAAGAAACAGGATTAGGAAAGTTTATGTTAATAAAGCCACAAAGAAGAAGTAAAAAACCGAAACAAACACCAAAACACCAAAACCAAGCAGAGTGGCAAGAAAGGCCTGGGAAGTGAAGTGCTGAAGACAGAGTATTGCATCTGAGCAACAAGAACCTCCTAGATGTCTGTGACATGCTCTTGCTATTTTAAAATCTGATTTAATCCTGAATGTAACAACAACAACAAAAGAATTAATAACGGAAAAACAACCCCCAAAAGAATAGAGAGCAATTTAAGGGAAAGAAGGACAGTTGTGCAAGGGAGAAATACAGGAATTTACAACATGGTGGTAAGTAGGAAAGGAGAACTAGAGGAACGTAGGAAAGGAATTGAAAGGAAACTGCACAGCAGAAATAGATGACTCTTAAGGCATTCTGCACTGAAAGGAATGATGAGATTTTATATAGAATGAAAAATATTAGGAAATGTTTCAGAAATTAAAGGGAAAAATAAGACCAGATTTAAGAAGGGATAATTATGCAAACTGATGTCAGGGAGATCGGGAAATAAAAGACAAGAGAAAAGAAGAAAAAAGAAAGAAAATTTCAATTCCTCTAACTTGTGGTGTTTAACTCTGGAGGAAAGAGATGGTATGTGAATAAATGTCAAAACTAGATGAATAGTGACGCAGAGCGATTTCAGAGGAAGTGCAGCGAATTTAGCATAAGAGAAGCTCAAATCTAAGATTCCCAAACCTAATGACAAACAACCCCCTCTTGTTCATGATTACAAAATTAGTATAGTCAGGTCCTGTCTATGGTGTCTTGAATTTGGAGTGGTTAAACTGGACAAGAAATCAATATTTTCTCCACACTCTAATGAAGGCTTTCTATTAGAATGAATGAAAGCATCAAGGGAAGCTGAAAACTTGTCAGTCTCATTGTACACTGGAGGAACTAGAAGGGTTGCCCTTGAAGAGGCAGAACAGAGGGGTCTTGGGATGCTGCACCAAGGACATTCTAGTAATAGCAAAAAAGATACATGAACTGGTAGTGAACAGGATTCTTTTACAACAAGATCGATCTGGTCCTGATGCTTTCCTGAATCTGATACAGAACACAGGATGGTAATGGAATCAAGCAGACAAATCACATGGCAGAAACATTCAATGGCTTAACCTAAGTCTTGAACATCATTTATGGCAATGCCTCAGTATGTAAACACTTAAATCTGAAGAAAGGTTGTGGATGTTTTCACAAAAGGAAGCTACTGCTATCATTAGCTTCAACTAAATAAAGCAACACAAACCTCTCCACCCAGCACAACCCCTACTCTATCAATCACTGGTCTTTCCTACAACTATATAATGCCCTTTATATGAGAGAACCGCAGGAATTCACAGGGGAATGCCTTGAGCTGGGCAAGGAGCCGAGTGAGTTTTTGGTTCAGGATTAGTAGGCAGCTCAGTGTTGGCCCACAGCTACCAATACTGTAGTTGGTGTCTGTCTGCTGTGAGCTACCTGATCAGGGATAAGAAGTAGACGAAACCTTCTTCAGAGATCTATCTGAAGAAGCCTTATATTTGCAAGCTCTGGTCTTTATGGGAAATTTTAACCCCTTGATATATGTGGAAGACAATACAGAAGGGCACAATCAATCCGGGAGTTTTCCAAAGCACATGGATGATAACTTCCTGATATAGGTAGTCAGGCTGATGAGGGGAGTTCTGCTAGGTGTCACAGTTTTATAAACAAGGAAGAACCAGTCAGGGATGTGAATGTCAGGTGCAGCCCTGCTGCAGTGATCACGAGATGGTGGAGTGGAGGATGTTGCAAAGAGGGAATAAGGCAAAAAGCAGGATCATGACTCTGATCCGTGGGAAGCAAAAAATTCACTGTTGAGGGGTCTGCTTGGAAGAATGTCATGGGAGGTGGTCCTGGAAAGATAGCGGTTCCAGGAGAGTTGTAAGACCACTTCCTCCAAGCTCAATATTTGTCTAACTGGAGAAGCAGAAAATCAAGTGAAGGTGGCAGTTAGCCTGCAGATGAACGATGAGCTCCTGACTAAACTAAAACATAAAAAGGACACATACAAGAGGTAGCAGCACAGCTGTAAAGGCAACAAAAAGGACTTCTACAGGTACGTCAGCTGCTAAAGCAAAATGGAGTGAATGTGAATGTGATGATGAGTATGGCAGGGGACCTGGTGACAAATGAGATGGGAAAGACTGAGGTACTGAATGCCTTCTTGAGATGAGGGAGAAAGCCTGGAGCAAGGAAGAGGACCAGGTTATGGAATATTTAAACAGACATGAGCCCATGGGCTCTAATGCAATGCCCTTAGTAGTTGGCTCATGTAATTGCAAAATCACTCTTGATTATCTTTGAAAGATCATGGTGATTGGGAGAGGTTTCTGAGGACTGGAAGAAGGAAAATGTCGCCCCATCTTTGAGAAAAGCAAGAAGGAGAATGATGAGACCATTCAGTCAGTCAGCCTCAAATCAATCCCTGGGAAGGTAACAGAGCAAATAATCCTGAAAAACATTTCCCAATACATGAAGGACAAGAATTTTGTCTGCATGATCTTATGAAAGGGAAATTATGCTCACAACATGACTGTTACTATTGGCTTGGAGAGTGAGGGGAGAGCAGTGAATGTTGTGTTTCTCTACTTAAAAGCTTTCAACCTGCAAGTTCCAGGAAGTGCTAAACTGGGAGGACAGATTGATAGATGAAGTGGTTGGGTGTATCCTGGGCTACATTAGAAACAGCATGGGCACCAGTCTGAGAAACATGAGCCTTCCTCTTTTCTCTGCACTGTCAAGGCCACATCTGCAGTGGTGTGTATACAGTTCTGGGCTCTTAGGCACAAGAGAGATATGGACATAGTAGAGTGTGTCC